ATATATATATATATATATATATATATATATATATATATATATATATATATATATATATATATATATATATGTAAATATTAATATTAATACTATAAATCATATGTATGCACTGTTTTTATTAGAGATATATCATATATATATATATATATATATATATATATATATATATATTCAAATATGGTGTGCCAATTATTTATAAAATGTAAAAATTAACTAATTGGTAATATTAGTTTATAAACCTAATTTATCTGTATTTTCACAATTATAATTTGCAATCAATTAAAATTTTAATAAATGAATAAATGCTTTATTTTAAATTAGAATCATATAATTCTTAGTTATAAATTTTATAAATTTTTATATATATTTGGATATACACTTCCAACACGTACCTTCTTCCTAATGTTTTAAAAAAATTGGATTTCGTGCTTCCAATACGATTTCGTTTCCGTGCATCCGCGTCCGTTTCCATGCAAGATAGTTTATAACAATAAACAGAATATCAAAAAAAAAGATCACTTAGAAATTGAAAACACATGGGCATGACAATTTTGTCACTAATACATAATATAAAAAAAATATCATAACCATCAACTTATTATGTGTATAGACTTAATATTTTTTTTCTGTTATGTAAATGCCTCCAAATTCCCCTATTTAAAACTTACTTACTAGAGAATTACTTTTAGGAAGAATGAATATGCTTACAGGGAAGGACATGGCTTTTTGTATGGAGAATGAGGATTGTCATGCAACTTTTTTTATATAAGGTTTAAGAAAGTTAAAAGTTTATAAGATACATTTGTGATAAATACACAAACACGTCATAATTTCTTTGTTTCCCAATATCATTGTTATTTTTAAAATTTAATAGTAAAATAATAAATTTATAAAACATAGATTTATCTTAAGGAGATTTGCCAAATATGACTCAAAACATAGTTTTAAATGCAAAATTATACTCAAACTTTGATCAAATGCAAAACTAACCTAAAATTCTTGTGAAATTATATCCAGTCCCTTGTAACAAAACAAAAAAAAATAGAACTTACCTTTACAAATATAGCCCCAGAACGTCGTCTGAGTCTTCTGAGATACTGTAAATCGTCTAGACGACTTTCAGAGAAGTCTTCTGGTGTAGTTGATCTTAAAGACAATTTTTAAATCTTTTTTTTTTAAATTGGCAAGTGAAAAAATAAAATCATGCAATTAGAAACAGTTTTAAGTGATATAAATTAACATATAATAAAATTGAATAGTTTCCAACATAGATGAGTGGTAGTAGTGCTAAGGGTTTGGTAACATATGTTGTAGTATTGTATGTATTTTTAGGGTTATATTTTGGAAAGCTTAAATGTTTTTTTTGAAAAATTATTTTTTTACCAATATGTCTTTATTTCTGTGTATAGTAAACACTTTTTAAGTTTAATTTGATTTTATGAAGTGTTTAGTTAGTTAATTTAGTTTAGGGGTTATGTTTAGGGTCTAAACGACTAACACATAAGTTGTCTGGCGATTAGAAGACTTCTATGAAAGTCTTCTAACTCCCGCTAAAACTAGTTTAGTTTTCCGCTAAAAATATTGAAGTTTTCTGGACAACTTACAAGTAAGTCTTCTAGGAAGTCTTCTATTAGAAGACTTACTTGAAAGTCTTCTATTAGAAGACTTACTTGAAAGTCTTCTGAATCGAAATTATTTAACCTTATTAGAATTTTTGTCTCCCTCTCTAAAGAAAAATTTACACATTCTCTTTCCTCATCTCAAATGGCTGCAATAAAAATGTAATGTTCCTCATTCTAAAATTCTCCAAACTCTCTCTAATCTCTTTGAATCTATAAACACCAAACTTTATATCAATATATTGTTTTTTTCTCATGTGTTTCTCACTAATTTATTTTTTTTGCAGGTTTTTCATCACATGATTCACATCTTCCTCTCATTTAAAAGTAGATCTATTAATTTTAGATATGTATTTTTTGTGTTCTATAAAGGTATATATATATCTTCCACTCATTTTCTCTGTTTTTAAACTAGTTGAATGTTTTTGGATATGCAAATTTTTCAGATCTCGATTTGGATATGCAAGTTTTTCAAATCTGAACCAGACTTTGGAAGACTTCTATGAAATCTTCTAAATTATAATGCTCTTGAAGACTTTCAGGACGAGTCCTGGAAGTCTTTTAACGGAGTCTTCTCCCATATCTCCATTTCATAACAGATCTGAGCGTTTGCGTAAGTTTTTATGTCTGATTTTCTTCATTTGATAACCTCTTGTTGCAGAAAGTTCTTACCTTTTTCACAAACTAAAATTCTCCAAACCCACTCTAATATTTTTGACTTGAAAACATCAAATTTTATATGAATTTTTCATTTTTGTCTCATGTCTTTCTCACTAGTCTATCTTTTTTTGTTGCAGATTTTTAATCAGATGATTCTCATCTTCCACTTGGATATGTATGTCACTATGTTGTGTATATATATATCTAATTTTCCACTCATTTTCTCTGCTTTTAAGCCATTTGAACGTTTTTTGATATTCAGATTTTTTAGATCTGGGTTTGATATACATGTTTTTCAAATCTAGATCAGACTTTGGAAGACTTATGGAAAGTCTTCTCGGAAGTCTTCTAAAATACAATGCGCTAGAAGACTTCCAAAAATTCTTCCAGAAGACTTCACGGAAGTCTTCTAACAGAGTCTTCTTCCATATCAACACTACAAGAAAAAGGGTTCTTACAGCGGAGTAGGATAGCGTTTCTCGTTTATGCTATGTTTGATATATCAATTAATTTTCGGTAGCGTTTGTTTAATTTGAAACACTATCTTTTGTTGGGGCGAATTTTCATGTATTTTGATACGTGTCTTACATAGCACTTTAGATTAGAAACACTATGTATTAATTAGGCAGAATAATTTTTTTTCATTTGCCCGGGCAAAGTTTCATTCCCCTCTAATCCCTAATACTTTCATTCTTCCTTCACTCTATCTCTTTTTCTCATCTTATCGTGGTCATCCTCTTTTCTTACTCTCTTGCTCATAATCTCATCTCTTTGTAAGATCTTTCTCTTGATTTTAAAATCTCATTGGTTGGGTTTCCAGATTCTCTAAACAGCAGACTTCTTCGAATCAGAATGGAAGGTAAATCAAAGTTTATAATTTTTTTCCGTTTGTGATAAACTAATTCTCTTAAATTGGTGGGTGATTTAGGGTTATTTCATGTTCAATTAATTTGTATATGTTTATTGGTTTGCAGAAAGACTATTTCCAATCGTAGTCGAAGGTAAACTCGAAGTTTATATTTTTTTTGTTTTTGATTAAAAAAAATTGTTTACTTTTCTTAGAATTGAAGGTGATTTAGGGTTATTACATGTTCAATTGATTCATATATGTAAATTATTGTTTTGCAGGAGGCTTTTGTTTCAGATCTTCCACAAGCAAGGTACTTGTCCTGCAATTTTTTTCTGACTTTCTCCATAACCTTGCTTGCAGGTCAATGTGTATGTGAGTTCAATAGATTAATACCATTGCTTTTATTTTGTAGCTCGTTCAAATCAATAGCAAAGAAATTTTATCAGGTAAAACTAACTGTATTGTTGTATAAAAATGACATTTGCACACTTTATGTTTGTTTTGATGCGCAATTTTTCAGGCTCGTATTAAAAAGATTAGGCAAGCTGACGAGGATGTTGGCAAGATAGCTTTGGCAGTGTGTGTCTTAGTTTGTGAGTCACTTTGTTATTGCTGACTTGAGTAGTTTTAAAGGCACATGTGGTCTTGGATAAGGTCACACCATCAACATAGCTTCTCTGCCTTAGATTGTTCTACTTTGTTATTCCCTTTTTCAGGGAACTAAAGTTATAGATGAATCCCATGATCAAGATACCACTGATCATGTGACTTCTGGTTTCAGCGACGAGTCGGAGATGC